AAATGTTATTTATGTTAATGTGACTTAATTCAACAATACAGATTGAAATACCTTGGTATGATCAGCAGATACTATCTTCAAAAACTTCCAGTTATTTTTCTCCTGTAGGTCGAATCAACACTCAATCCATAAAATAGCAACGGGATATAAAGACTTTTCTTCCTCACATTGCCAAGGACACAAATCTCATCCTCATTCAAAATTCAGATAAAGGGTGAAGTTAAAACTACTGGAGAAAGTAAGTCCATTTGAATAGCCAGGGAAGCTGGAAACAGTGGTTAATTGCCTCTTCAAAATAAATAGTTCATTTAAAGAGGAACTTCTGTTTCAAACCAGCTGCAAAGAAGATCGGTCTTCCACAGCCAGGGAATTTTACTTTTTTTTTTTTTTTTAATTAAAACACAATATTTCAATTTCTGGTCTTCAAGTTCTCTTCACCTATTGAAAAAGAGAAAAAAATCTTCCCCGGTCTTTATTAACTGCATAGTAAAAATATAGTAGCTTTAAGGTCAGACATGTATATACACATGAAGTCGCATATTATGTGTTTATACATGTAAAAATGCATATTCAAGAGCAGTATTAATAAGCTGCATTTCAACAAATCAATCTTCCATGTAATTACATTTTTAGATGAATAGTTTATCATACAGTACAAACATAAATAGGTATATTCATACTGCATGTCAAACTTTAGACATGTGTGCCTTGTGAGAACTATTTTTAAATTAAATGGATAAATATTTTGTACAGTATTATTTGCAATTGCAAAGCAATATATTTGGCAGCATAACATTAAGAAAATAAAGCATTTTACGTCCAACCTATTCATTTTTAAAAAAAAATAATTTAAAATTTGTTCTTGTTGTCAATGCAACCTTTCCCTGAAAAAAAAAAGGTGTTGCTGCTTTTCAGCAACAAGATTGAAAGGATGTCTCTGATATAACATCCTAACAACGTTTTTACAGTCACACAGCAAATAAGGTGTGAGTAAATCAGAACAGAATTTATTCTTTTCAAATATCATTTTGCACATGTAATTTTAATGAATGTAGAATAGTAAGTTGGAAAGTTTTACTCCAGACAAAATAATTTGCCTTTGAATATTTATAGTATGATATTTCCCCAACTCTAAAAGAGTAGAGGGATTTTTTTTTAAAAAAAATATTGTCTGTGTTGAAATTCAACAATAGGAATTTAAGAAACGTCATCTGTAAAATTGCTTTTTATTTGCATTTCTTTTTTTATGCATACTTTTTTATGCAACTTGTCTTGCTGGCACAAAATACTAGTACTCCAGATGGAAAAATCTGAATGAAGGAAAAAGGTTTCTGTCAAATACATATTATTATTTGCCATAATCATTCAATTGTAAACAAAATATATATTTTTTAAAAAAAATTATAATTTATTAACTGTTTAAATGGTTAAAAAAAGTTGTCCTTTAGGTGCACAAAATTTAACACATGTATCATAACAAGCAAAATTAAAATAATTTTGTTAGGAGCATTTCATGTTCATATACACTGAATCATTTGGGGAACAGTATTATGGTACCTGTCCATTTAGTATATATCCCAAGCATTACTGTTTGTTGTAAGTAATTTAAGAAAATACCATCTTTCCAACTTGGGTAACAGATGACTGTTACCCTGTGGATTAAGCCAGAACTACTGAACTGTTCCACTGCTGCATTAAAATCCCAACTGTTTTAAAGAATGTGAAAAAGGTTGTTTTTCCATCTTTTAGTGCAAAAATAATATGTATTACTGACATCAGGGAAGTCAATTTCTGTACTTAAATGTCATTTTTATAAAGCTGAGTAATTTTGAATTCGGTTGGTACAAAATCCTAAAGAGGGCTATTAACCTTTTGGAGGGGAACTACTATTTCTAGCAATATAAAGTGAATCATCTAAAGGCAGAAGCTTTCAGATTCTAAATTTTCTGCTCATTTCAAGTTGCACCACTTGACTACAAAACATCAACAATTATTATGTCCAGATAACACAGGATGTTTGTATGTTTACATGATTCTTTGAAGCTGTAAATGTAGAAGAGAACGCAGAGCTGAGGGGTAGAATTCAGCACGTCATGGTCATGATCAGCTTAAAGACGCTGCCACCAAGTCCAATCCCTTGAATTCCATTTACCATTATCTGATGTCAATTTAATAGTGAACTTTTGTTGATTAGATTCTTGTGATAGACTTGAGCCTATAAGCTTGACATATAGTCCTGATCCTTTGCGCCTAATAGTAAATACTGTATAGGGAATATTTTCAGCTACATTTAAACTGTTCAAAACAGCCAAAATTAGAGCTATCATTCTGCTAATTAACTTGCCATTTCACAGCACTAATTTACATAACTGCTAAAGCTCTAAGTAAAATTTAATCAAAACTGTGAAAATATGATCTGACCTTGTTTCTTGAGTGGAGAGAATTGTTGTCCTGAAAGTACTGGTATCCAATTTCTCAGCTATCCCTACCAATATATAGGACAGTATTTATCAATGTAAATTGTCTAAAACTGTTTTTTATGCTTTGATAATTGTTGCAACTAATTAAGTCTTTCCTCAATTACCACACTTGCCAAGGGCAGCAAAACTTAACAGCCTTCTGAGGGGGAGATGTGATTACAATAATGTTTGCATATATCAAACACTACCTCTAAAATTATTTATAGCATCCATATTTGAGAATGTTAACTCTATATGTATATGCACCTCTGAGTAAGTTCTTTTTAGCTCAACTTAATTCTAAATATTCATGGATTTGCAAAGGAGCCTACAGAAGTTGTTCCTTGAAACAAGAATCTAGGAAGACAAAAAGTAATGCTTAAATTTGCATCCATTTCCATCCATGAGCCAAAAGTGGTATGTTTGTTAAGAAAGCCTTTTTGCAGGTGTTGGAGGGGAAGAGCAATAGACTGATCAGAAATATCGAACCATCTCAAAGGGCTGAACAAGGCTCATATGCAAGGACAGCACTAGTCACATTCCTTTTGTACTCTACTGTCAGAGACAGCCTATAAAAATAGGCATGTTTTCACACTAAGCTTTCAATATGAGATAACATAGAAAATAGAATGTAAATTCAGAATAAAATGAATTTTCTTTGCTCTATAACTACATTACGGGCTTTTTTAATCACTACCAATACAAATTTTACCACCACTACTAATACAAATTTTAAGTAAAGTCCACTCTGGCTCACAAAAATTGTTTGATGTTACATATTAGATAGCTTTTAAATTCTATAAAATCTGCCTTATATGTTACAGCACACTCCCCTTCTAGAACACAATTCCTGTTGGCGGTGTGTTCTATATGCCAGGAAAACAGGCAAAATAGGTTAGCCATCATGGTCAGAATTACCCATTTTGCTTGTGTTTCGTCACAACTGTTTTGTTTAGACAGAAGCTGTCTACTCATAGCCAGCATTTTCTTTTTATATACCCTGTAGTTAGTGCCCCTGTGCACTTGCTAACTAAATATCAAGCATGGAAATCTTCATTTAAGAAACAAGCAATTCCAGCAATATGGTTTTACCATATTACTTATTTAAAAAAGCTCTTCCGGATATGGCCCAGCTTTCTTTTATAACAGCTCCACAGTTTGCTGCACTTACACTGCTACAGAAGGCAATGACAAAATACTTTCACACAGTTGCCAAAAAACCTGCATGGATCTGTTCCTGTAGTTACCAGGCATCAAACTCTGCTTATGTATATGTGTCTATGTGTGCGTTAAAAATTTTAAAAAATCAATCAATCAATAGGAAATAAATCTGTTAATCTACAGCAAATACAAACAGATTATTACTTTCTATTAGATTAATAAACTGTTTTGAGTATCTTTGTGCCAGCCTGCATACTAGAAAGAACTGCATTTTCTAATCCACTATAATTACTGTATCCTAGAAAAACTGTTTTTTAAAAAAACTAGTAGGTATAACACTAATCATTTCCTGGATGCAAAACATCTTGCAATCAAAGGACACCATTACTTTCCCTAAAATGGTATCTTGTGGAAGTATAAATTAATTATCCTCTAATATTAACCTTCATATTCTAGCAAATCTCCAATGTCTCTATCATAATAAGCACTATTCTATTTTTTAAAAATATGATTATCAAACGAACAAGCACTGTCTATAAATAACCAGGTGAGGAATTTTTAAATCCCAAAATTCACAATGTTTGCTAGTTGTTGTTTTTCCCTACAAACCCTTCAGGGACTAAGGAATGGGGTTAAAAACAATTATTTAACCAAAGAGGGATTAAATGGAAGGGGCTGACCTAGGAATACAAGTGGTAATGCTGTACCGCTTACCTAAAAAGGTAAAAAAAGAAAAAGAAACAGATGGGGTTTTTTTTCCCCAGGCGGGCTGGGATAGGAGTGGGAAGCGGGAAGAAGAGATTCTAAATAAATTAATGAATCAATAAAAAGATCAAAACACCGTTTGCAGAAATTAGGAACTGGGCGTTAAAGGGAAAGTTAAGGCGAGAACGTAAGCAGAGCAGGCCTCAGGAAAAGCCGGAACAGGGGAGTAAACACAGGCCGAGGCCCAGACTCCGGGGCCTAGAGAGGAAGGCGTCCCTGACGAAAAAGAATTCGATAAATTATACGCAAGGAAGCCGCTGGCCTTACATCGGAGACAGGGGGAGGGGACCCAGGTCTTTGTCACCCATGCGCAGGGACTTTACCGAACCCCGAGAATGTGACGACGACGACAGCAAACTCTCGGTTCCCGCAGCACCGCGCTTCGACCGTGTTCCTCTGAGAGGCGAAGATTAAACTCCCCGTCGCCGCCGTTAACGTCGCCGCTGCCCTCCTCCAAGATGGCACCGCTCCCTGACGCCCAGCTACTTGCCAGGAAGGAACATGGCTAAAGTAAAGGAGGGGTTTAAAAAAAGGGGGGGGGCTAGTTCCATTCACGTGACCCCTTCGCTCTCACCATTATGAACGAAGCAACTAGCTACACGTCGCTTCCGGTCTACACCGGAACCTCTTCAGTACGTCGGCGGGTCGCGAGCTGCGCTTGTGCGGGAAACGGAGGACGGTGGTTTTTTTTCCCCCCTTTTTTTGTTTTCTTTCTTTTTTCTTTTTTTTTAAAAAAAGAAGCTTCTCGGCGCTGTTTTTTTTAACTTCTCTCGTTTTGCTATCCTGACTGTCGGCCATGGCGTACCGCGGGCAAGGCCAGAAGGTGCAGAAAGTGATGGTGCAGCCTATCGTATCCTTCTTGTGGCAAGGCGGAGGAAGCGGGCTCTCTTTGGAAAAGGGCGGGGCGAGGCCCGTGAGGGGGATGGAGGCGAAGGAAGGGAGCGGGAGGCGGCATGCCGAGAAATTGGCACGTTGCTCGGTTTCACGTGTTTTCTGGAAGGACTTTTTGAAGGTGGGGGGGTGGGTGGCTGAAAGAAGTTGCTAAGCTGAAATTCTGTTGGTGACTCAGCCAGTCAGTCACGCGTGCTCGGCTTAGTTATGGTGAGAATAAAATAGGTTGGCTGAGAAAACCGCCATGAACATCTGGGATATGCTACTAGATCAGTGGTGAAATGTAAAATTTGTTACTACCGGTTCTGTGGGCATGGCTTGGTGGTGGGGGGGGTAATAGGACTGAGAGGGCGTGGGCAACTTTTTTTTTTAACTTTTAAAACCATTTTTTCTACACCTCTTCGGCTGAAGAGGTTGTTAAAAAATGCTTTTAAAAGCCTCTGACGATCCCAGCTGAGTTGCCTGATGGGCAGAGGCTTTTTTTCCTTTTAAAAGCATTTTTTCTATAACCTCTTCCATGGTTAAAAGCCTCTGATGAGCCCAGCTGAGCTGCCCGATCATCAGAGGCTTTTTTTTTTTTTACTATTAAAAGCATTTTTTCGGCCAAAGAGGGTGTAGAAAAAATGCTTTTAAAAATTAAAAGCCTCTGATGATTGCACGGCTCAGCTGGGCATGAGGGAGGGGCAGGGATTTTTGCTACCTGTTCTCCGAACACCTGCCTCCATCTCCATCGGGCGAAGCAGTCCGAACTGGGAGCATTTCACCCCTGTACTAGATTGAGTACCTAAATATAATTAATCCGGTTGGGAATAGGATTAACATGGCTAAAATCGACTCAGAAAAGCAACTGCTTGTTTGATTCTGCAGTGCCTCAGCCATCAAGATGCTTTCATTTTGTGGGATTTCTTGTAAAATGACGAGTTGGAAGAAGAAATGTTGAATTTCTGTCAGAATGAATGGGGGTGCTCCTTTTTATATGTTTTTTCCTAAATTTATCTGCGATAGAACCTCATTTTTCGCTACCTGCAGAATGTAAGTATACATAATTACATTTTTCAAATTTAACAACGTATTTGTATAATTACTGATTCTTAGGACACCTGCATTTGTGGTGTACATTGAGAAGTTTTGTTCTCTTTGTATATATCATACAATCCCTCCCCCTTTAGCTTTAATAGGGAAGTGACTAATTAATGTGATTGAAGCAATTTTTGTAGAAAGCTAGTAAATACATTAGTGTGCATTTCAGAAATGTTAAAAAGTATTTATCATTGTAGGTAACAAAAAATATTAGCTCAAAAAGTTAAAGGCAGTAATAGTGAGTTTTGAGCTTATTCTTTCAGTTTCTTTCAGAATCCTTGCTTCTGATAAAAATATTTTGTATTGTAAATGGTTTTAAATTAAAATATCCTTATTACACCTTATGTAAATAACTTTTAATAAGGGTTTCATTTTTACTGAAAAATATGGCAGTGGAGAAGACTCAATAAAACCAGTTGTTTTGGTGGGGGCAGTGGTGGGGGTGGAGTTTCACTGCAATTTCTAGGTACCAGAGAGCCATAAGAACTTGGGCCATGCAAATAAGATTGTAAGCCTACACAGAATTCCACAATGTCATAGTTTCTTTGCTGTTTACTTTGCAGAGATCCCGGATTCAGGTTTGGCTATATGAACAAGTAAACATGCGGATAGAAGGCTGTATCATTGTAAGTGTTGTAATTGCTTTCACATACATGTAAAGAAAAATATAACTTAAATATGATTGCAAAAAGATCATTTTGTTTTTAGTTTCTTATCTCAGACTAAATGAAAACATTAATTAGTACAATAAAACATTTTTCATGAACCATCATTTGGAGTTAATTGTGAAAAACCATTCATTCTAGTGTTATCTGGACACTTATTGTTCTTGGGTTAATGCTGACTCTGAAAGCCTGCATCAATACATTTTCAGGGGTGTTTAAAACTGACCAACTGTTAAGTACTAGCAGTTATTTTCTTTTTCTGAATATTTAGTTAAATGATTATTCACTTTTTTATTGTTGCTTCTGTGACTTGTTCATCCTATTTCATTTGTGATACATCATTTTATAGTGGAATTTTGATAGTTTAAAAGGACAAGATGGAGATATTTTAAAATCAGAGTAATCTGTCCCATTTGATGAACCTAACTGAATCCACCATTCTTGCATCTTTACTACCATCCTTGATGTTGCTTCCTTCCATTAAATGTATTGTCACATTTCTGTGTTCTGGTTCACAGGGTTTTGATGAATATATGAATTTAGTTCTGGATGATGCTGAGGAAATTCACTCTAAAACAAAATCAAGAAAACAGCTGGGTAAGTGTAAGCTTTTCTGTAGTACATATCAGGCATCCTTTTTCTTGTTACTAGTAAAAAATAAATGTTAATTTAATTTTGTGAAAATCCATATTAGGAATTTCAATTTTGCATTTGAATATCAGTGAACAAGCCTCCAAGTAGGCTTGGAACTGCCATTTCAGAGTTCCATACATTTAATTGGCACATTACTTTAGGTGAATAATACCAAAAGCTGCTGAAAGGTCAAGGGTAGGCAAAGGGTGAATATTAATCCCTCTTTCTTGCCAAATATTATCCATTAAGAAAAATAGTACAATTTTCCTGTAAAACTAGGCCAGGACTGAATGTGGGGATTTTTTTTCACTGCATTCTAATAGTACTCATTATTTAAGTAATCACAACTGAAGAAAGCTAAATGAATTATATTGCTAATCCTATCATCTAATATCAAATAAAATGCCCATACACTTTAATATATTACATTTTTTAATCATACTCTTTGCCTTTGCAGGTCGAATCATGTTAAAAGGAGACAATATTACCCTTCTGCAAAGTGTTTCCAACTAGAAAATACCTAGTATTTCTGTTGTAATATTAATGTTTAATCTTTAAAAAAATGTGCAGGCTTAATGCTATCTTTTCTGATTTGGTATCTGAGGCAAGAATGAAGACAGCAACTTAGTACATATGTCTGTAGTTTTCAATAACTTTTTTACACTGGTGTGTAACTATTTCTTTATAAATAAATGTTTTTGTTAATATATTTATCTTCTTTATTACTATTTGGACATAAATTTTTGAATACAGATAATAATACCAGCAATAAACAGTTGTATTAGAAGATGCAATTGTTTAAAGTACTAGTCAAAGAATATATAGCTTGAGAGATCAGATCCTAGTTTATGAGATACTGTGAAAGGAGTATGATGCTCTCTGAATAGAAAATTTGATCAATAGCGTCAGACTAAAACTTAGAAATATAATAATGTACAACTCCCTTATAACATACGACTATTGTTTCTTAAAAGAAGCATAAGTTTATGACTAAACCTACACACCTGACTGGATCAGAAATAACCAATTTGTTTTATTTTAGAAATCTTGTTTTCATAACATTTGGGTACTGGGTTTGCTTTATTAAGTATTAGGATTTGACTTATTAAGTATTAGGATTTTATATGATATCTGTGTTGAAGTTCAAGTTTCCTTTTTGAGAAAAATGTAATCATCCTTACATTAAGGAAGTTCACATATTGGCTGCCCTGCTTTGCTTTTGTTATTTATTGGAGGTCGCTGTTCTACACAAAACATTAAAAAAGCAGCTTGACAAGTAAAGTTAACTTCCTTGCTTTTTAGATGAAAAGTTCATCTCCTTAATTGCTGCTCTTTGTAAGTGATATGTTCAGAGAACTCTTTATTCCCCAGAATAGAGAAAAGGAGGAGCGACTACTTCCTGAGGAGTGACTACTTCCTGAGTATAGAGGTTGCTCAAGAAAGTTTTAAAAATAAATATGGAATGAAGATTCAATCACTGAGTGAACACAATTGTTAACAATAATTTGGTATCAAAGCTCAGTGAGAATCCTTAACAAACCTTAGGTCAATAGTACAAACTTGGTTGAAAGGGAACAAGAGGAAATAACAGCTTTTCTATACCGTATGTAACTCCTTGAAAAATAGAAGTAAAGATAAACACTTATTACTATATTTGAGACTTAACCGTACACATAGCATGTTTCTGTTCCTACTTGAAAATTATCTGGCATGTACAGCAAGGGCAACTATATAGCAATTTCGGGAGAAAAATATAAAAACTGGAACTGCAAGTTACCATCCTTCATCCTTGTGAAAGAAATTGACTAAACAAATACAATGGTAAATTAACAAGTATCTCTACAAGGAATAGAAGCAAAGAAGCAAATCCAGTTGTATATGCTAAAACTGATAAGGTGATAAATGATTCTTGAGCCATTTTGGGCTATTTTGTAAACGAAGGGATGATGCAAAGTTGGAAAAAGGATGGCCCAAAATCCATTGACTTGAAAGGGTCCTGGATCTAGCTCTTAAATTGTTATATAATACAGTACATCTACTTTTTGCTATTCTTAGCAGCACTAGCATATCTGATGAAGCCACTCAAGTTCTGAAAATGTTTATTTAATTGGTTCACTAAATAGCGGTCCACCTTTTGTATAATTGGAATTCCAGGAACTGAGACACAGATCACATGAGAAGCACCATCCCAGTGCCTTGTCCGTAATATAACTCTGGCTCAATCTTTGTTAAGAGGTTACAGGCTGTGTGTCTCTGTTTCTTCAACTCTTTGTCAGTGATCTATGAAGGTATTTTTGTCCTCAATATCCCTGAAATGCAATCAAAAACAATTGTATGACCTATTAACAAAGCACAGCTAATATTTCAGCAAAGGACCTAAAATGCAAAAATATAGTAGACAAAATAATAGTAAATTTAATTTAATAATCAAGTCCTAACACCTATGAATATATAAAGAGTCTGGAAAAAACCAATAAACATCCAAACATAAAATGCACCAGTACATAAAATAATATTTTATTTAGATTCAGTAATTAGCTGTACCACTGTGCTGTGAAACTCAAAATTTTCACAATGTCTGCTCATTAGAAAAAAAGTTAAGTAAAAATAAAACAGCCACTTATCCAAGTGTACAATTCTAAACTGAAAAACCAAATCAAAACCATTTTGATAACCTCATTTCAAAATGCAACTATAGGTAGTTTAAATCCACTGAGAAAATACCTAGATCATTTTACTTTAGAAAAAGAACAAGCTAAATATATCAAATGTAATGCATGGAATATAAGAAGGAATAGAGGAAAGTTATATTAAACTGCAGTCATTCAATAAAGTGGAATGAATGGATAGCTGAAAATAGATAGGCATATTATTTTTTAATCCAATATTTATATGGTGAAAATAACCTGGAAAACGCAACAGTCTTCACCTTAGAACACTTTTAAAGAAAATAAGACTAATCAATAAAGAATAAGGTTATTAGTATTTCTAGCCTTGGCCATTCAACTACCGGCTGCTACAGCATATGAATGGGAAATTGATGTAACATTTTGGAAATCCCTTCTAAGTGGAGTTGGTTTCTTTTCTTTCTTCTTCTTCTTTTTTTTTTGTAAACGGTTTATCAGATTGCCTCTCCCAAAAGTGATTCTCCGTAAATGACTCTCAATTGCAAATACAGCATCCTTTTCTGAATGAAAAAAAATTATGAGACAAGCTAATATATATGATATTTTGCTGTATTTCCTTCTTAGTTTCGTTGGCTTATGCCTTCTGCTTCCATTACATATACTGTATTTTGCGCAGTGATATTATTTTCTTTAGTCATATATTTTCTTTAGGACATATATTCAGGTTCCTGAAAATTAAACCTCGTTGACTCTTGTGAGAATGGAATGGAAAGGAGGATTTGATTCTATCAGAAATGCTGCATAGTATGAAGAACTTCCAAAGCTTATTAAAAAATGTAGTCATTGTTATGGACAGCAGGGGGCACACGTGCCTTATGGTAGTTTGTCAGCAATATGGTTCCCACAGTACTGCTGTCTGCTGCTTTAAAGGCTCCAAAACAATATGGAAGGAGTAGAAATGCTACCAGGTACATGTACAAATCCATATAACTTCAAAAGAGCATGCTTGACTCTTTCTAATTTGCCCTTATCCAGAGAGATTTCCATTTTACCAGCCAATAGAAAGTAAAATCTCCAAAAGTCAGATTTGCTTCACTTTTTGTTTCATACTGCTTTGCAAGTTGTATTGTTTTATAATGTATAGGACGGTTATTGCTCTCCTCCCTGCAACTGAGCAAGAACTGCCACATTCATTCAGGATGAAATCACTGTAAAAGAGGACCTTTATAACATGACATAATCCTCATACGTTTCAATATATTTGCAGAAGTTGTCAATCCCAGCCTGCATCTTGAAGTTGTGGATGTAATCACTTTTTCATCAATACAAATTACTTTATGGTGGAAGTTAATAGTAAATGGCACATTACCTTCTACGAGGTGAAGTCATCAATTCCTCCTGCTCAGTGATACTGATGTTGAATTAATCCTGGAAAGCAGATCCCAATAGTTTTAGATAAGGGTTTTCTAGCCCTATCTGGTGAAGTCCGGTTTCTGTCAGGAATGTAGGAAATAATTGTCATGAACATTCTATGAACATGAGCAAATGAGTAGTTAGTCAGACCATCATTTTATTTGTTTACAAGTGAAACGAAGAAGGATGGATGCCATTCAGATTTGAGACCAGAATCCATTACCTGGCCATTCCAACCTACTGAATAATATGAGTGCCATACAACTCCATGATACATAATTAGGATTAAAACCATACAGTCAGTTAAAAAATAAGATAAACCTAATTTCAGAAGGGAAGAGTTCAAGTGCACATAAGCCAGCGAAAGGAAAAGGATTAAGATTACCTAATTTTACATTGACTCCCCCGCCTAGCCACGCCCACAGGAAAAGATAGGAAAATTTTTGGAATTTCCAACTATCTACCCCCGCCCTCCCTTCGGCAGTCACCCCCATTTCCTCTCCTTTAGCATCCCTGGCTCTAGCCCCACTTCCCCACCACTGCCTCTTTGTTCGGGCTGCTTACCTTCCGTGGTGGCTGGTCCAGAATCCGGAAGGCAAGCTGATTGGAGTTTTTGGCGGCCCCCAGCCAGCCACCGCTGCTGGAAAGCGGCTGGCAAAGAAGCTTTTGTAGGCCATCACGGCCGCCAAAAAGTACCAGAGGTCGTGGAAAAGCTGCTGCTGTCGCTCCCATGTTCTTCGCACATGCGCATCCCATTGGACTTGCAAGGCAATGGGATGCGCGTGCACGAAGAACGCGGCAATGAACATGGGTGGGGCAAGCAAGTGGCGACTGGGGGACCGATTTGGGGGCATGGCCAGCTGGCCATTGCTACTGGTTCGGCAACCTTGGCCAAATTTCCACCAACGGTTCACGTGAACTGGTGCGAATTGACTGAATACCACCTCTGATGAATATGGAATAAATATAAACCCAGGTTGTGGCCCCAAATATCTTTATAGATCTCTGCATAGGAAGCATTCTATAGAAAAGAAACAGCAGGCAAAGGAAACTGTTAACTGGTTAAATCTAGTAAGACAAGAAGATGATGAATTTAAGATGAAGTCAAGAGAACAATTGACTACTAATGCTCAATTTTTTACATAGATAAATAGGTAATGGGAACTGAACAACATGAGACAATTTGAAAATTAACTATGTACAAATGGTGAATATGTGATTGCAAAGATGTATAAACGTTTGCTAAGATTTATAACAAGGAACAAGGACTGCATGACAAAATGTCTAGCAACTTTGTTTATAAACACAGAAATGTGTAAATGTGATGAAATTCAAATTATAATTAGAGATCAATTTTTTTAATAAAACGATGTATCTTTAATGTATGACACCAGAGAAATTATCAAAATGCATAAAGTTACTTCTAGCCAATGTTGGGAATCTGAAAAATATGAATATATAATGCAGGGTGGATTTGAACAAAAATAGAAATTGATACAAAAGAAAAAAAGAAAAGAAAAGACATTGATACAAATACATGATGCAAAGATTTTAAAAGATTGTTCCCCATGTAGTTGTATATGTATATATTTGCAGTCAGGACTGTCCATCTAATGCGAAGTAATCAAATAATTTAAACTAGCTACTTCTCAAGAAATACAGTCCACAG